ATATATATATACACACACACACACACACACACACATACACACACATACACACACCTGATTGAAGAAACTTTCCCTGCTTTTTGAACATTCAAATTTAAGGGATGTGTTGCAACTTTTAAATTATGTTTATATGAATGTTGCCAGGAACATTCAAATAAAAAATAGATTGCTTTGACCCTTTCTTGTTTTCCCACAGGATTGAAAAAACGTACAAGGAAGGCCTTTGGGATACGGAAGAAAGAAAAGGACACTGATTCTACGTAAGTCTTTTAAAAGTTTGCCTCCTCAAAGAGATGCTGTTGTCATTGTCGCTTAGAGGACATAGAGTCTTCTGGGATATTGTGTACTATTCTGTTTCTGGGTAAATTGTAACTGTTAGGCATAAATGGTTCTTAGATTTACTCTACAAAGATAAAGACTTTTCACCATGTGTTCAGTTTTTCATCACATGTTATTATTTTATAACTTGATAACCACGTTTCCCAGAAATCTGGGAGGGAGGAAGTGTTACTGTTACTTCTGTGGGGACTAAGAGTATTTATTACCACGTCTAGGTTTGCTCTGAGTGAAATGAAGAAGCAAAAACACCTGTTTAGGTAGATTAGGCCTAGCCAGAAACAGAAATTTGTTCAGATAACATTCCAAAGCTTTCACTTGATGCCAAGATTTTGTACAAGCAAAACTGTAAATCAACCAACAGAATTCACAGGATAGGCTATTTGGCTGTGAATAAGAAGCCAGTGCCAGAAATAACCCCGTGGATACTTTTACATGTTTAAACGATCACACCCAAGATCATCAATTGCCCTCAGACTCTAATAAACCCATCTTGAAAACATCCAATGATGTAACAATTCTATTCCATTTATTTGACCATCTTGAATAGTCCTGTAGAGTATTTAGCTCGGACACAAAAATCTCAGTTGCCGCTTAGAGGCAGGCATGTAACTTACACATGGAAAGTAAGAGGCCGGGAACTCAGGATTCCAGCCAAGACCAGTGTAATGACTGAACCATTACTCCCCTGCAGCTGGTTGTGGCCATGTAAAACTGAAGACCTTGTGTGGTCTGCTTAAATCAGATTAATGAGCCCATTAAACCCATCATTTGGCGGGAATCCATGAAAGAAAGTTAGAAAATGTGAAAATCAATAATTATTTGGGCACAGGTAAAAATGGAGAAGGTTACATTTACTTACCACCTTTAGCTTTTCTTCCTTTATATTTTTATCGTGCATACATTTTATCACAGGCTGCTTAGCATTGCCTGTGTCCTTGTCCTCCAAGATTTTATAATTCACTAGAGGCCCAATGCATGAAAATTCGTGCAAGAGTAGGCCTTCCTCCCCCAGCTGCTGGCACCGGCTTCCCTCCGGTACCTGGGACCCAGGTTTCCCTCCGGCCACCGGCAGGCACCCGGGACCCGGACTGCTTCCCTCAAGCTCCAGCTTTGTCTGGAAGGATGTCCGGTCTGATTAGCATATTACCCTTTTATTATTATAGATGGGATAAAATATCTAGCACACAAACTGAGATAGCTTTCATATAACAAAATGAAATAACATTTGAAATGACTAGTTTGGGACCTATTACTTAGTAAATGCTCAATAAATGGCAGCAACACTACTCATTATTACTAATACAAATTAATATGTGGTAAGTTCCTTATGAGCAAATAAAAATGGAATTCATGGGAGTTTGAGGGTAGAAAAGCTCACATTTGGACAGGTGATCACTGAAGCTTCAGGGAGGGAAGAACTTCGAGTTTGACCTTCAAGTTGAGGACAGGCATTTCATGCTAAAGGAACAACAGCCAAAGCAGCGAGGTGGAAGAGTCAACTGGTATTCAGGACAAGACAAATAAGGCAGTTGGCCTACCATTCTTTCCAGTTAAGAATGATCATGGAGGCAAATCTGGAAAGGACATCAGGACCAGATAGGAAGTGCCAGGCTGTGTCACTTGGGCTTCCTTCTCTAGGCAGTGGGCAACCTTGAAGCCAGAGAACATAAAGGATTCGGGGGAAATAAAAGCTATTTTTTAATATAGATAGCAAATATTAAGTCACCTGTTCTTACGTTTTCTTTGTGCTTTTTCTTTTGGTAAATAATTATTTCATGAAAATTACCTTTACTCTAGTCTTGTTCTATATTAGGGGTAGGGAACCTTTTTTTCTGCCAAGGATCATTTGGATATGTATAACATCATTTGCTTAATATAATTCACTTAATATAAATTTATGTTGCTATGAAAAAAGCTCCCAGGTTTATTGAATTTTTAATCCCGCCTGCAGTTGCCTTGGCAGGGCCAGACTAAATGATTCTGTGGGCCTTATACGGCCCGAGCACCAGACATTCCTCACCCCTGTTCAAAATGATTGAATTGGGAATTTTTTTTATTGATTACAGTATTACATATGTGTCCTTATCCCCCTATACCCCCCCTCTCC